TGTTGACTTTTTATTTTCGTTTTTAGTAAATTTTTTTTAAAAAAAATTTCAAAAACTTCTAGGCTTATATTTTGTTTCACAAAACGAATTGAAAATTAAAAAAAAAAAAAAAAATTGAAAAACGTCATGAGAAGACAAAAATAAGCAAAAAATAATAAACTTTTTTTTGTCTTATTTTGAATTTTTCAATTTTTTTAGTAAAGTTTTTCAATTTTTATTTTTTACATATATTCGTCTACACAAGACGAATTGAAAAAATAAAAAATTCTGACATAATTTTGAAAAATCACTAAAGACTAAAAAATTAAAAAAAAAAGAAAGAAGATAGTTTATTATAAAAAAAAATTAATTAATTAAAAAATTTTTTATCGATCATTGTTCAACCCTGTACATGGTACGGATGATATGCTAATTTTTTATATATATGAATTTCACTAAAAATTTTAGGCAATAAATGATTTTGAATGGTAATTGCATTTACGATTGCGTTAAAACCACTTTCCAATTGAGCGGTGCGGTGCGGTGTGGACTACCACCACCACCGAACCCCGTCTTTTACCGTCCTCTCTCTGACAACTCACAAGCTTTATGCCCATACTCTTTACTATACAAACAAAAGCTCACGAATCACAATATATATAGTCAGAGAAAGAATTATATGCCACTACGTATAGAGAGAGGAGAGAGAGAGAGAATGAGAGAAGTCAAAAGTCTGTTTTCCTTGTTCCTGATAATCATCTTTGGACTAGTCTTTATTGATAATCAAGTAAATGGTGAAGACCCATACAGGTTCTACACTTGGGCAATCACTTATGGTGACATCTACCCTCTTGGTGTCAAACAACAGGTTCTTCTTCTTCTTCTTCTTCTTCTTCTTCTTCCATGTACTGTGTGTGTATGTTGTGTTGTTGGATTTTCTTGAAAATGTTATGTTGGGTCGAGAATCATAAAAGTGAAAGAAATGGATGTTGTGGGGGGTGTTGCAGGGAATCTTGATAAATGGGCAGTTTCCAGGGCCACAGATCGACTGTGTCACCAATGACAACCTCATTATCAGCGTCTTCAATTACTTGAATGAGCCTTTTCTCATCTCTTGGTATGTTAAACTTCATCATTATCCTTATATCTATCTGCATTATGTATACATGTATATCTTGTGTTTCCCAGTCATCTTGATTGGTGGTTTAGTGATGGGATATCCAAGGAAAATGTATACTTCTTGTTAGAAAATATTGATATTGGCCTAGTTCCTAGTTTTTTATTGGAAATTATGTATTTTTTTTTTTTGGGTATTGCCATAGCTTTAGATTTCATTTGTGTCTCAATTGACCAATATATCCCTTACCCTTCAGCACCTAATTACCGAAAAGGAAGGTGGATTTGTCAAGTCTATGAGGTTACTTTGGAAATTTGACGCTATGGTGGACGGATATCATTTGTCATTTTATTAAAAAATATGGGTACTTTTCAGCATAGAATTTTTAGTGATGGAGTAGGCAAGAAAAGGTTGAAAACTTTTGCTTTTAGGGGTCCCTATTTTGACATTCTTGGGAGCTATAGGAATGGGGGGACTTATGGTTAGAACTATGGGTGTTTTGACCTTTTCTTTTCATTTTTCAATTCGCTAAAAAGTCCTCCAAAAAAACTATTGGGGAATCAATGAGCCCATGAACCCGTGGCAACACAACCCAATTCATCGGGAAGAAACTCTAGTGCACACACGCTCAACACCATGGTTCAACATACATTACATTATTTAGAGTTTCTCCCTGAGAAAATCTGTCTTTTTTTTCTTTTTTTTTCTCTTCTTTGAACTACATATTTACTACTGTGTCTGTGTTATGCCACACACCACACACGAGATTCAAGTCATTCATTGATATGATTTCGTGTACAACCCACAACAATGAGTTGTCTGGATGTCGTGTGTGTGCAGCAATGAATAATTTTTGGATCTGAACTGATCTCATGGTTCACATGCCATAGATCTCTGACATGTGAAGCAATGTGACAGAGCTGGCATTGATTCTGGTTTGTGTATGGTACCCAAAATGCCCGACCATGGTCCAGCTACATTATTATTATTAAAAAGTAATGGATAGAGTAAAAAATGAAAAATAAAATAGAAGCGTTCTCTTGATCTGGATCTACCTGTAACCATACATTCTTCCCATGGCTTGACTTTTGATAATTTAAAATAATGTAGTACCAGCTGGAAAGTATTAAGTCTATTAGATTAAATTCTCAAGTCTCTGACTGCAAAATTAATTGCTGGAGTTTCTAATTTGCCTTTAGGAAAGACTAAATTCCTGTAAAATGCTATTTTTTTAAAAAATAAAAAAATAAAATTAGGATTTTGGGATTCATTTATTTGAGTTTGTCTCCTCTTCAGATCATGATGTCACGCATGCATTTCAATTCGTATGTATGAACTTTAGGGAGCGTTATTGTTCTTTGTTAAAGACTATTTTGACCCCCCAAAAAATAATTTAACTACAATCTCTTCTGGATTAATTTTGATATCATGGAAGATATAAGCGAGACAGACTTGCAATGGCATGATTGATCTGAATTTTGATTCTCATCATGTCCCGTGATTGTTCTCTAGGAATGGCTTACAACACAGGAGGAATTCATGGCAGGACGGGATGTATGGCACTAACTGTCCAATCCCGCCAAGGAGGAATTTTACTTACAATCTTCAAGCAAAGGACCAAATCGGTAGCTTCTTCTACTTTCCATCTCTTGGACTCCACAAGGCTGCTGGAGGTTTCGGTGGCATTAAAATCTCAAGCCGCCCTCGAATTCCGGTCCCTTTCCCTCCTCCTGCTGCTGATTATACTGTCCTGGCTGGAGACTGGTTCAAAAGAAGTCATAGAGTCAGTCTTCTATGTGCCTTTTTTTTTTTTTTTTTCCCTCATTCAATTCCATTACTAATAAGGGTTCTTTGTTGTTCCAGCAATTAACGCTATTCTTGGATGCTGGTCACAATCTTCCATTCCCCGATGGCCTTCTCATCAATGGGCGAGGATGGAACGGGTACACATTCACTATCGATCAAGGTGTGTTTATCAATGATATGTTCCCCAATTCATAATTTTTCTCAACATCATCTTCATTGACCATGTTTGTGACCTCATTATCCCAATAATTTTTGTTTGCAGGTAAGACATACAGGTTCAGGATATCAAATGTGGGGCTTGCGACATCCATTAACTTTAGAATACAAGGGCACACAATGAAATTAGTAGAGGTAGAAGGATCGCATACACTCCAGAATGCTTACTCTTCCCTCGACATCCATTTGGGTCAATCCCTTTCTGTCTTGATCACTGCTGATCAGCCTCCAAAGGATTACTACATTGTCGTTTCTTCGCGCTTCACCTCTCGAATACTCACAACCACAGCCATTCTCCACTACAGTAACTCATTTACCCGTGTTTTTGGTCCTCCTCCTGGAGGGCCTACCACTCAGATTGATTGGTCCCTCAACCAGGCCAGATCTATAAGGTGATCCAAATCAACCCAAGACTCCAATGTTTTTCATGTCTAGAATTTTTGTATGATCCTAATATGGTATATCAAATTTTTGAATTTTTGCATACTAGAAGACCTGTTGGAACTAGCTGTCCAAATTAACACATAATACAGTTTATCATAAGATAAACATCCTTGAAAAACTTGTCTAGATTACTAGTATGCACACACAACTGATCAGGCTTGTTGCTAGAACATGGATTGCACACTAAAAGCCTAGCTAGGTGACCTCTGGAATTTGTGCGGAGAAAAATCTACCACATTGGATGATCGGATAACGACGATCGGAATCAACGCCAGAACACTCTCTCTAAACTTGCAACCACAAACAATGAGTCCTTACTGGCTATGGTGTGCAGCTAAGGGAATCCTGATGCTTAAGTCAATAATTACAAGTGAACTCTCAAATATGGTGATGGTATAATTGCTCAGAATTGCATACCTCTTCCCCAAGGCTAAGTGTTGCTTTTATACTACTTAAACTGACCTTTCAGAATATTATGTAACTACCTCCCATGCTGCTCTATCCTAAGCGGGATTGTCCCTTGTCCAATGATTTTCTCTGAATGATGTGTTTGGTTGGGAGATTTAGAAGAGATTTGGAAATGAAAAGAAAAAGGTATGTAAAATTATGTGAAATGTAAGTGTATTTTATTTACATTTCACCTACATTTTTCTTTTCCTTTTCTAAATCCCTTTCCAAATCTCCTAACCAAACACAACGTAACCGATGAGCATAATCTCACTTTTTTGTGTACTTATTCTTGACTTGTTCCACCCCTTGCTCGGGCTTGGCCATCCAATCTACATGGTTGACCAGACACACTGTTTGTGCAATTGGCTATTTGTCCTGATTGGCTGCCGCCCAACTTACTTGGCCGAGTAGTGTGGTTGAGCGAAATGACCTGCAATCGAATCAATTAATATTGTAAATTTTTTTTATGCAATTTCTTGTTCTTGTGACAGTACCAATTGCTTCAACATCTGTTATTTCATGCTCTCTAAATCCAGGTGGAATCTCACTGCAAGTGGACCGCGTCCAAACCCACAAGGCTCATACCATTATGGAATGATACAAACTTCCCGGACCATCATGCTTGCAAACTCTGCACCTTTTATCAATGGCAAGCAGAGGTATGCTGTGAATGGTGTCTCATTCTTCCGTCCTGACACTCCGTTGAAACTCGCTGACTACTTCAATATTGGGGGAGTCTTCAATCTGGGAAGCATCCCTGACAGCCCCAACTGGGGAAACGGCTACCTTGCCACGTCTGTCATGGCTGCTAATTTCCGTGCTTTTGTTGAGATTGTGTTCCAAAACTGGGAGGACACCGTACAGTCTTGGCACATTGATGGCTATTCCTTCTTTGTTGTTGGGTAAGCTTTATTTGGCTATGAAATGCAAGTAATAATATGTTTTCTTGAAATTTGAAATCTATTGACAAGTAGTTGAATTGGGCAGGATGGATGGGGGGCAGTGGACGCCAGCAAGCAGATCACGCTACAATTTGAGAGACACAGTTGCCCGTTGCACGACTCAAGTATGTGGGTTTAAAATTTGTCATCTTCTTTGAAATGTAATACAATGCTTGTATGATCAATGGCTCGATGTGTTTGATTTTGGTGCAGGTTTATCCCAAGTCATGGACTGCAATCTACATTGCACTGGACAATGTGGGAATGTGGAACATTAGGTCCGAGAACTGGGCAAGGCAATACTTGGGCCAACAATTCTATCTGAGGGTATACTCCCCTGCAAATTCATGGAGAGATGAATATCCTATCCCAAAGAATGCTCTTCTTTGTGGTCGAGCATCCGGTCGCCACACCCGACCTCTTTTATCCCAATAATTTTTGTTTGCAGGTAAGACATACAGGTTCAGGATATCAAATGTGGGGCTTGCGACATCCATTAACTTTAGAATACAAGGGCACACAATGAAATTAGTAGAGGTAGAAGGATCGCATACACTCCAGAATGCTTACTCTTCCCTCGACATCCATTTGGGTCAATCCCTTTCTGTCTTGATCACTGCTGATCAGCCTCCAAAGGATTACTACATTGTCGTTTCTTCGCGCTTCACCTCTCGAATACTCACAACCACAGCCATTCTCCACTACAGTAACTCATTTACCCGTGTTTTTGGTCCTCCTCCTGGAGGGCCTACCACTCAGATTGATTGGTCCCTCAACCAGGCCAGATCTATAAGGTGATCCAAATCAACCCAAGACTCCAATGTTTTTCATGTCTAGAATTTTTGTATGATCCTAATATGGTATATCAAATTTTTGAATTTTTGCATACTAGAAGACCTGTTGGAACTAGCTGTCCAAATTAACACATAATACAGTTTATCATAAGATAAACATCCTTGAAAAACTTGTCTAGATTACTAGTATGCACACACAACTGATCAGGCTTGTTGCTAGAACATGGATTGCACGCTAAAAGCCTAGCTAGGTGACCTCTGGAATTTGTGTGGAGAAAAATCTACCACATTGGATGATCGGATAACGACGATCGGAATCAACGCCAGAACACTCTCTCTAAACTTGCAACCACAAACAATGAGTCCTTACTGGCTATGGTGTGCAGCTAAGGGAATCCTGATGCTTAAGTCAATAATTACAAGTGAACTCTCAAATATGGTGATGGTATAATTGCTCAGAATTGCATACCTCTTCCCCAAGGCTAAGTGTTGCTTTTATACTACTTAAACTGACCTTTCAGAATATTATGTAACTACCTCCCATGCTGCTCTATCCTAAGCGGGATTGTCCCTTGTCCAATGATTTTCCCCGAATGATTTGTTTGGTTGGGAGATTTAGAAGGGATTTGGAAATGAAAAGAAAAAGGTATGTGAAATTATGTGAAATGTAGGTATATTTTATTTACATTTCACCTACATTTTTTTTTTCCTTTTCTAAATCCCTTTCCAAATCTCCTAACCAAACACAACGTAAGCGATGAGCATAATCTCACCTTTTTGTGTACTTATTCTTGACTTGTTCCACCCCTTGCTCGGGCTTGGCCATCCAATCTACATGGTTGACCAGACACACTGTTTGTGCAATTGGCTATTTGTCCTGATTGGCTGCCGCCCAACTTACTTGGCCGAGTAGTGTGGTTGAGCGAAATGACCTGCAATCGAATCAATTAATATTGTAAATTTTTTTTATGCAATTTCTTGTTCTTGTGACAGTACCAATTGCTTCAACATCTGTTATTTCATGCTCTCTAAATCCAGGTGGAATCTCACTGCAAGTGGACCGCGTCCAAACCCACAAGGCTCATACCATTATGGAATGATACAAACTTCCCGGACCATCATGCTTGCAAACTCTGCACCTTTTATCAATGGCAAGCAGAGGTATGCTGTGAATGGTGTCTCATTCTTCCGTCCTGACACTCCGTTGAAACTCGCTGACTACTTCAATATTGGGGGAGTCTTCAATCTGGGAAGCATCCCTGACAGCCCCAACTGGGGAAACGGCTACCTTGCCACGTCTGTCATGGCTGCTAATTTCCGTGCTTTTGTTGAGATTGTGTTCCAAAACTGGGAGGACACCGTACAGTCTTGGCACATTGATGGCTATTCCTTCTTTGTTGTTGGGTAAGCTTTATTTGGCTATGAAATGCAAGTAATAATATGTTTTCTTGAAATTTGAAATCTATTGACAAGTAGTTGAATTGGGCAGGATGGATGGGGGGCCTAGTAGGACTTTTACTCCTCCATGTAGAGTCCTCATAGGATTCATACTCTTGAAAGATAATGCTTATCCTTCAACACCCCCCTCACAGCATTAACCAAGTGAGATGGTTCTACCATGGTCAGACTTCAACATGACCGAGGTAAGCATGGCTATGCTAAGCCGCAGACTAGACCGAGATAACACTAGCTCGGCTCTTCCATTCACTGCTCTTACCTTGGCTCTTCTTAATGCTAACCATAGTATGTCTAGACCGGTATAACTAATACTCCAATCCCAACCGGGATAACTTTGTAAGTGATGACCGAACTTACCGTAAGCTGTTTGGGACCGGAGTAATTTTAAGTCTCTCGCGGACTGGAGTAACTTTATACCTCTCGTAGACCGGAGTAACTTTATACCTCTCTTGGGCCGGAATAACTTCATGGCCCTTTTACTCAGTTCTTCGTACTGTGGCCCATGACGGCCCATTACCCAACTCGGCTCAATTTTCATATAAATTACCCTCATATAAATCGAGCTGAGTGGACTAGGTTTCGAGCTGGATCCAAACTCGGACTTAGAGGGGTCACGAGCAGACTTCGAATTGACGAGCAATTTTTATACTCTCAAATCTGTGCCATGTGTCAACGGAAAAATAAATTTAAAAAAAAAAATTATTGAAAAGTTGTGTGTTGGTTGTGTGTCTGTCAAATGCAGACGTGGAAAACGAAGGTCCAAGACACGCACACAATAAAATAAAATAAAAGAAAAGAAAAAAAAAATAATAGTTTGAAATGTATTTTTTTTTTTTAATTTTAAAAAAAATCTAAAAATCATTCTCAACATTAATTTAAATTTGCTACACGGACATTGGGAAGTGTTTTGGGAATTTAGACCTAAAGACCGGTTATACGATGCAAGTTTTGAAGTGCATAAAGTGGAATTTCCCATTTGCTTTATGTTCAAGAGAGAAGTGAATATGGGAGAGAGAATTGAATAATTGGATTTATTCTTACTTTTGTATTTTTTTCAATTTCTTTTTGTTCTTTTACATTTTGTCTGGTGAGATGAGAAAAGAAATGATTGTTATTTTTTACTTAGGTAAGTAAAGAAAAAAAATAATTACGATTTCTTACCATTATGTTTTGATGGATAAAAGAGAAGATAATATAATTTCTCATATATCTTGTTTGGATAGAGTAAATAAGAGAGAGAAAAAAAAGTGTTATATTTTATTTTATCAAAATAACATTTCATATTAATACGTTATGTTTTTTCATAAGGGTAATATATTTTAGAAATTTTTTATTAAACCAAATTTCTTTCTCACTAAATCTCACTATTTTTAACGAGAAACAAAACATAGGTTCAGTAAGAATCATTTTATCACAATCTCTTATCATTTCTCACCATCTTTCACATATTCAACCATTTAAACAAGTGAGAAATTTTTCTATTCTCACAATTTCTTTTATTTTCTCATAATCCCTCCATCTAAACGGAGTGTTAGAGATGATGACTCCGTTTGGTAAATTAACAAATTGAGAAAATTGTGACTTCTCACATGAGGTTGAAATAAATAAATAAATAAATGATTGTAATTTTTCATAATTTTATTTGGATAAATAACAACTACTATAGAACACCGCTCCTTTATTTTCTACATTTTGTATTTTGATATATAATTTTAAATATTATAAAAAAAGTATTCAACTATTTTTATTTTATTTTTTAAAAATCTCAAAAGAATGTGTACTATATAGAAGTTATAATATTTGTAGGATTGGTACCACAAATAAGAGAAAGACCATCTTCCGTCCAGATTTTGGATTGTAAGGTGTTGTTTGGGCCTGTGGGGCCTACCACAGGTCACGTTTAAATAATTTGAATCGTTCATTTTGTTAGATACTTTGTATATTTTATCTACACAAAAAATTAAGTCCATACAATAAATGTAATTGGTTCAATTTATCATGTTTTTAATCAAAACAATTTGTGTTTGAGTATATACACCAATTAGTGTACCAACACTAGTTATGACATTATTATTGACTCCACTCATTTTACAAAGAATAATGTTATATGCACTAATTAGTGTACACACTAGTGTACTAATAGATGATGTGACATAATTTTAGAAGTTTTGAATATTTATAATTTATATAATAAATAGAGTCATTAATGATATCATAACACTAGTTAGTACACTAGTGTGTACATTAATTGGTGCATGTAACACCACCAGTATATAAATTACAAATATAAAAAATATATTAAATTATGACACATCATCAATTGGTTAAAAAGTGATAAATTGAACCAATTACAGTTATTGAATCAACCTAATTTTTTATGCGAATGAAATACACAAAATAACTAACAAAATGAACGGTTCAAATTATCGAAACATGGACCGTGGTGAGCCCCACTGACCCATACAATGGCCCCGTTTGGTGTAGCTGTTAAAACAGCTTATAGATTATAGCTTAACAGATTATAGATTATGACTTTAATCAGAAGTTGTTAATCTGTTTGGTGTAGCTGTTGGATTATAGATTTAAGTTGCTGAGTAGTGTTTGTTAAATAAGCTGTGAAATAGTTTTTTCAATTAATTTTTATTTTTTGTTTGCCTACATTTCTCATAAAAAATAATAATAATAATCTATAGTCCATTTGAGTCTTTTTCTATTTTTAAAAAAATAAAAAAATTAAAGAGTATAACCATAAATTAACATGTCCACAGCAGAAGCTGATAATCAGAAGCAAGGGGTGAGCAGCTTCTCAGAATGAGCTTTTTTAAGTTAAAATAAGCTGTTAGAATCAGAAGCTGTTTGAAATAAGTTTAACCAAACAGTCCAAAATAACTTTTTCAAAGCTAAAAGTCATAAGTTGGCTCTGAAAAGCTGAAACAAACACCCCCCTTCTCTACCCACTCTATCCCATTCCCTCTTCCTTTTCCTCTTTCTCTCCACTTTGTATCCAAAGTCGTCGCATCCTCCAAAGCCACTGCCACCGTGCTTTTCCTCGCCGCCGTGAGATCTCGCCGGAAAGCTTCAACAAGTTCTCTCTCTCTCTCCACTCTCACCAATAAGGTGATTGCCAGCGATTCTGACCATGAGTGAAAGAGAGATCGATGGAAAAGACCACTACCATACAGATCTGAGAAAGAAGGTTCAAGATCTGAGCGATTCATTTTGTGAGATCTCGCTAAAAAGCTTCGGAAGACGGCACGATTCATCCTCTTTCCTTGCTGTTCTCTCTCTCTCTCTCTCTCTCTCTCTATATAATATATGATATTATCACTTACTCATCAAATTTGGAAGTGAGTGATATAGTGTAACGGTGATCTCAAACACACACACACATACACACACACACACACACAAACACAAACATACATACACACGCACTCTCTCTTTTCTTGTTATTGTTGTTGAATCTCCATCTTCAGATCTGAATATCTATCTTAGATTTGAATATGTTGTTGTTGATGATCATGAACATATAGGATTTGGTGATGAGTTCAACAAATATGTTTATTTATTTTTAATTTTTTGATGTTGTTGTTGATATTAATGATGATAAACAGATAGGATTTGGTGAACAACTTCTAGAGATGATGAACATATAGGACTTGTACAGATTATGAATCTTTCACTACATAAGAACAAATTGATATTATTGAACATATAAATTTTAAACATGTAGAAAATTAGACAGATAGAAAATTCACACAAAAAATTTGGATAGATAGAAAATATACATAGATAAAATTTGGATACTCTCCTTAGATCATAGTAAAATTGTACTTTTAGAGTAAAAGTTTACTCTCAATCAGAGTAAAATTTATTATGATTCAAAGTAAAATTTTACTCTGGTAAAAAATATGTTGATTTGCTTAACGATATAAAATTTTACTTTGAATCATAATAAACTTTACTCTAATTCAGAGTAAAATTTTACTCTGAAATTTTACTCTAGTTAAAAATATGTTGATTTGCTTAACAATATAAAATTTTACTTTGAATCATAGTAAATTTATTCTGAAATACACTGTGAATATGGCTTAATAGAAGAGCTGACAGATATGAGGGTAATATAGTAAAAGAAATAAGTTTTAAAATATTAGGGGGTTTTGATCTTGTCTTTTTAAAAGACAATTAGACAGTGAGGGGTCTATCACCAAATCTCCCTTTAATTTTTTGGATTTTCTATTTCTTTGGACTCTTATCTTAAATTTTAAATTTTAATAAGATTTTTTAAACACTTTACTTAATATCAACTTTACCTATATTCATAATATCGTCACACCCAAATGTACACCCACCTAATTTTAATTTTGCTAATATCAACTTTACCTATATTCATAATATCGTCACACCCAAATGTACACCCACCTAATTTTAATTTTGCACACCCTCTTTTCTTTTTCTCTCAGTAAATGATGAACGATTGAGAACAACAAACGATTGAGAGATGAATCGACTGCTCCTATCTTCTCCTTCTCTCATAAACGATGGTCTTTTTCTCCTTATTACTGTGAACAACAGTATCTCAGTCAGAAATCTCATCAGAAATCTCTTCAACAATCTCTTTCGTTTTCTCTTAGTAATTTCTAACTTCCTATCACATTTTTTTTTTTTTGGTTATTTTGAGGTAAAACCCTTGATACATGAGATTTTAGATGGAAAAACTCTCTGAAAAAACAAAAATAAGGAAAAATTCTATAAAACGGAACCGTTCAGTATTCCAGTGCCAAACATAATGTTTATTTTCATCGCTGTATTAGTGAACTAAATGTTTCTGTTCAGTACTGTATTACTGAATAGAATGTTAATAGTTGGCGAACCAGTATCGAACCGAAAACGACCTAAAATTATAAATGCAAAATAGATAAACTTACCAATGCAACGCCAACATCATTAGAGTTGTTGTCATCATCCTTTATTACTCTATAAGTATCAACAAATGGTGAAAACGACCACAAATGTAGAAACTCGAAGTCTGTAATATGATTGTTTTTAATGTTAACTGATTTGGAATACTGAACACATTTGAAACCACCGAACAAGATGTTAATTGATTAAGTAGTTTCAAATGTTTTTCATTGGAGATGAATACATGGGTTTAGGATGGTGATGAAGAAGAATACGATCAGAGTTTAGATTGGTAAGGAATATGTATAGATGGGGATGGAGGTGGGTGTTCAATATTGTAGAGTATCATTCTAATTAGTTTCATTTGGTGGATGGTGTTCCATTAAAAGTTATCCTTTAATGTAATTTTACTTCATGGTATAATTGTACTAAAATAAAATAAAAATGTGAGAATTTGTGGGTCTAAAGAAATTAGGTAGGTGCTAATAGTAGCACTAAAAAATTTTTGCTACCATATTTTATTGGGTAAATTACATATACACCCCATGAGATTTGCTTAAAATATAGATTATCCCTTATGATTTGAAAAATTACAAATGCCCCATTGTCATAATTTTTTTATTTAACAGAATTAACTAAAAAAATAAAATTCATAATTGTTCTTCTATACAATAATAAAATTACCTAAATTATTAATTGAAATATATTTCTAACATCATAAAAACTGTTAATTGATTTGAAGATTTATTAATAAAAAGGGTTATTTGTTATAAAATTAGAAACCTCAGGGGGTGAAATGTAATTTTCAAAACTACATTGGTCAATTTATATTTTAATCAAACCTCAAGGGTTATATTTGTAATTTACTGTAACAACCACGACATGTGATTAATTGTTAAACCACGATTAAGAATGCCTATTGAGTGATTAAGAGAAAATTCTATATTAATTGCATGTGTATTGTGTTATATGTGCTTATATCTGTTTGGTGTACAAAGATTTGTCTATGTTTCTGCTTCATTATGCAAATTAAAGGCCTTATTGGCATCTGATCATGAAATTGACTTGGTTTATGTGTTATTTGAAATTTTTAGAATTTTATGAAAGATTTGATTAGAATTCAATTCGGAACCAAATAATTAGAATAAAATGATCCCAATTAGTTACCTTTAACTCAAATTAATTAAGCTCCACTAATTGAGCCTATATAAGGCCCAAAGGATTCTAGAAACCTTAGATACACTCTTATTTCATCATCCTTGATAACCAAACATGAGATAGAGAAAGACTTAGGAAACTTTGAGCTCAACACTTGATAATTGTAGAGACTTGAAGGTTTTGATTTGGAAACTCAAACAATTAGCCAACTAAAGCTCCATTGAGAAGCTAAGATAAGAACTCAACCTCTTAATTATGTAATTGACTTTGTTAATGCTAGAATTCAAGTGGATTAAGAGTTGAATCACAAGAATTAAGCTAAGATTTGAGAAGCAAAATCCAAGACATACATGGATGCACATTTCATGGTATTTTGAAGTTGTTTTCCTTGGAATTTCCTCATGCATGTCATTATTTCACCTTGGTTTGGAAATCCATCAAGTTTCATGTCATTTCATATCATTTGATCATGTTTTAAAAGGTTGGAGTTCAGGATAATTCATGCATGTTATGTTTTGAAAGTTTTAAGTTTGATTTTGTGCAATTGGCAAAGCTTTTGGGCTTAATTTTGCGAAATGACTTTTGACTCATGATATATTATGAATTTATAAGTGTTTTATTAAGTTTTGGCCCAAAAGAACATGTTTTGTTGCCTTAGAATTGAGTTTTGAAGCTGGGAGTGTAATCTGAAAATTCCAGAATTCTGCATCACCACTCGAGCGACAGAAGTTACGCTCGAGCGACTACCCTTTGTTTTGTGCTTCTGCTTGAGTGAAGAAGTCTAAGCTCGAGCATAAAATTCATGCTCCTAGAAGTTTTTATAAACCTTTGCAGACTGCTTGAGCATAGGAAGTTGCGCTCGAGCGGAGACCCTATTTACTCAGTCTTTGGCTCGAGTGACCGTCGAGTGTTTGTCGAGCAGAAAAAATCATGCAACCAGTACTTTTGCAGACTTTGCAGATCATTCGAACGATTGATGTTGCGCTCGAGTGGACTACCTTGTTTTTGAAAATTCGACTAAAAGTGTTCTTAAGTATATTTTGGCATCCTTATTGCATCTTAGGCATTCTGAAGCCTTAATTAAGCTATAATAATGATGATAAGGGTTAGAAACACACCAAGATAGAAAAAAATGAGTTAAGTGTTTTCCGAGTGTGTGTTTTGATGTGTATCCATTATGTATTTGTGTAGGTCAAGTGCCATAGATCATTGATCTAATTGTTTTAACTTTTCTACTATTGGAGCTATCTGTGAGTAACAACTCTATAAAGCTATGTTTGACTATAAGTATTTTCTGACTGATATGATGTGATCTGTTTTCTAAAATGTTATTTTATAAATCATGAATGAATGTCTATTTTTCTAAAATGTATCTGTGGCATCCTTAGTTCATATGGCCCTCGCCTAGGGGTAACAATACCGTGGCTTATGTTCATGTTATGTTCATGTGGCCCTTGCCCGGGATTAACAATATCAAGGCTTATGTTCATGTGGCCCTTGCCTGGGGGGTAACAATACCATGGCTACTTGCGCGCAAGATGTTGACCTTTGTGGTTGTCGACACTGGCTATGCATGTAGGTCTTATGACCAATCTGATCTGATAGCTAATGGATGTACCATATATAACTGCTTATAAAATCTGTATAAGTATGTGAATCTGAATCTATTTTTGATATAAACTCTGATTTTTGAATCTGAATTGGACATCATTCATAACCCTTTACTCTATTGTTATTCACTGGGCTCCAAGTCATTATATTATTTATGTATGTAGGTGATCAGACACGGGACTAGGCTCAGTAAGCTTTCCTAGAGATCTGTTTGAGTCAACAAACTAGTTTGCCTTCCAAGGAGGTTTCAAAATGTCTGTGGTCGAGTTTGTAAACCATGTTATGACTTTTATTTTCCTTTTTGTGTAAGTTTGAACTTGACTTTTGGTTTATCTGTAATATGGTGATACAAGACTAATGTAACTATGATGTCACGTATTGTATATAAATATAAGTTTTTAATTCTCTGTCCCATGTATGTTTACACAGCTCTATAGGCGTTATGTGTTTGTATTTGCTTCCGTTAGCTGTCGACA